AGTATAAATGCAAAAAGGAAAATAATTTCTTGATTCTGTATAAGATTCCTAAAATGTGAATAATTGGGGCTGGGGTTAGCCTTTTAAAATTCAGACTCTCCCAGCAAGTTCTAAGTATTGTGAAAATCGTATCATGCGATTGTCACTTTAGTCAGATTTTAAAAGTGTGGTTTTGTGTTGACTATAAATTGTGTGGTCCTTGCCATCAAAATCCGTACGGTGCAGAGTAGCCAATATTGCAATCTCTGGTACAGTCGGGAACTACCACTCCTCTGTAGTCACCAGAATGTTTCTGATACTCATTTTCACTTTTGCCCCATCATCCATAGATGGCAATACTGACTCCAATTTACTCGACCCTGCTTCATCCCTGCACTAGTTTCCATGCAGAGGGATGGAAGGATTTTGCAATGCCGATGTCCAAGCCCTGTTTGGCAGGTCCTAAATCTTAGGTGAGAAACTGAAGGTCCTGGACTCAGTGAGTACCTTTTCTGTTCCTCTGCATATACAGTTTGAGTGACATCAGCCTTTCAGAGCTGTGCACAACTGACAGATGGGAAACAGCAGAAAAAAAATGTACCCCTTTGCTTGGCTGCTGCCAGTGAAGTTCAGACGACTTTCCTGGCCTGCCACAGGGAGGAGGGCATTTTTTTTTTTTCTTTTTTCTTATCTTTTATTTCCTGGCATCACCCTCAATTTTGTATCTCAAACCTCACATCTTGTCTTTTCTGTATTTAAGACAACAACAACTACTCACAGCTACTCTTTCTCTGCACCTGCCAGGGCTGCTTGCTGTTCTGGGTTTGCTTTCCAGATCACAAACGCTGGAGAGTCTGCATTTTCTGTGGGATTATGTCCGCAGGCACAAAAGGCAAACCTGCCAGTAATCATAGTTATTTCCTGTAGCATGAAAACAATGCCTTTCTTGAGGCGAGATGCAGTTATACACAGTTTGAGCTGCACAAAGGCTGCACACGTAGGCTTCTCCAGTAGAACCGTGAGTTTCCTCCCATGTTTCATGACACAGACTGTACTGCCTGTGCACTAAAGGAAAAGGAGCTGCTTAGGAAGAAAGATGAGAGCTGCTTTGGTCAACACAACTCCATCCAGCAAATGAGGTTACTGGAGACCTCTGTGTCAGAAGCTGGTGGAGGAATTGATCCCATTTTTGGTGTTGGGTACCATGGGATCAGACAAGGCACTGCAGACAGGATGGTCAGAAGCTAAAGTAGTAGAAAGTAGTATTCTGAATATGCAGACCATAAGCAGCATACCTAGAAAATGGGGTCAAGAATCTACAAATAATGTTTCTTTTCAGTTAAACATGCTTAAACCTGAAAAAATAAATTAGTAGGAACATGGTACCTTTCTCACTTCTTTTGAAGCAACTCCAGCTTCTCAACGTTTAAGGGTTTCTCTGTGGCACTGATTAAATCTCACTGGAGAAAATAAAAAGGTACCGAGCATTTCAACCTAGTGATCTAACAGAAAAGCACTGACTGCCAGTCAGTGATCCCAGTTGGATAAGAAAAGAAGTGGAGCATTATTTGATATGGCACAGACCAATAATTTACTTTGTGTTGTGTGAATCATGGCATCTTTTCTCCTGCCACCACAGGTGAATAGTTTTTTTCCTACTGATAAGTGCCTGAAAAGAAGAGATATGCTCTATCTCTGTTCTGTTTGATAAGATGAAGATATCCTCATTTGAGAAATAATATTCATCCCTATGTCAAAAAGCCACATTAGCTGGGCAATAAAAATTAATATTTTTTTTGCATATGTCTGAACTGAGCTAAATATGTTATAGTCCTGTTAAAAAAGAATGGTAGTATCAAATGCTACCATATATTTCTAATTTCCCAGCTATGTCAAAATAATTCTATACCTATTTCTTGGTGCTGGTATTAATCCTCTTAGTGGACTCAGTGCAGATACGTGGAAAAATGCTAGTCAGTTCTAGATTAGATTCTTATGTACCTGGAGAAACTAGCAAAGTAGAATCCCCAAATCCTTGTCATATCTGGTGTCTAGGTGAAATTCAATGCAGGGCTACCAGTATAATAGGGCTTTTTGTTTATGGGAAGTTGAATATTGAAATGAAGACCTTATCTGGGGAGTTAGAAAACCTACAAAGTGACCTACACTTACTAATTTCTGTTTTCTTTATTAAGGATTCAAGTTTAATTTTAAATCTTGGGATTCATGCATACAGAAATTACTGTGATCAGATTTGTCTAGTTTAAATTAAGTACAGTTTACTTTGCAGAGACATACATGGACACCAGCAGCTCCAGCATGGAATGGACAGTGTGAACATATAGAAAAGGATGCGGAAGGTTAGTTCACCAACACTGTTACTCTGCTCAGCAATAACGAAAACATCCCTGTGGTATCAACTTCAGCAGAAATCCAAAATGCAGCCCCATACTAGCTACTATTGAAGAGAATTAACCCTACCCCAGCCAAAACCAGCACAATGAACTCAGCTCTCTGATGATAGCAGTGAGGCTTTCCAATGCAGGCAGCATACCAAGTGACTCCACTAGTGATGCAGTTTGGATGATTTCATGTGATATAACATTAATATGTGTAGCTCGTCAAACCCCTCAGCAGTGTGACTATTTAGTTTGTGCCAAGGCTTCTCTCAGCTATTTCTATGGAAGTTCAAACTCCCATATTCAGGAAGCAATTTTGTCAAGCCTTCAGCCCTCAGTGTAGCAGTGTACAACCCTGGTCAGACCAAAGGCTCTTTTTGGGTCTCTCCATTCTTCATCACTAAAGGGCTGCTAATAGATTAAGGATGGCAAGTGGCTCTGCAGAAGCTACATGGAAACAGGAAAGTACAGTAAACTTCAGACCATGCACAAAATATATTTATATAAAGTCAGCTTTGTAATTAAAGTACTGTCTGTCCTCCTTGGGCTTTAGCTTGCATGGTTAAATTTGTTATCAAAAGAATAAACAATATGTGTCCCCATTCCTTATCCCAGTTCTCACTATCACATATGTCTGGATTCTGCGTTGTGAAACTTTTTTTAAAGACTTATTTTTGGGTTAGCTATCCAGAGGCAAATGTTTTTGAAATAAAAATCTGTAAAAGTTTTAGGGAACTTCTAAAAACTTTGGACACTTTCAGACTTGAAAAGTGTTTGCTGAAGCAATATGAATGTGCTGCACTGTCTGTACATCTCCAGATAGTGTCATACCACTGAGTGTTAATGTAGTATCAGACGGTAGAATGAACCAAGGATAAGGTGATCATTAAGACACCTGTGCTTTGAGGAAGTCTTTAGAAATAGCACATCAGGCCAAGCACCAAAGGGGTTTAGGGTTTTTGTGGGTTTTTTTTCTTCCACTGACAGATATTTCACAGAAATCAGCTGTCTGATGAACATTTAGGTTACAGCGGAAAATGTTTCTTACGGTGGAAAGGTTTTTCAGACAGGAGAAGGTGATAACGTAAAGATTATAGGAAACGTAAGATTTTTTTCAGGGTTATACTTTACTGTGAATCATCGTATAAAAGACAGTGTGGGCAAGTTTGAACCGCCTCCCGAACCAAGGACTCCGGTGTTACCGTATGGCAGGAGTTACGCCGGGAAAGGCGTTAGTGCGTTCTAGCAACGCGGCATCACGTAACTTTAACCCGACATCTGACGTCCCGCTGCAGTGCCCGAGCAGGCGCGCTCCCGAGCAGCCCCTCGGGCCGCCGCCGCCCTACCGGGAGCGAGGCCCCGCC